ATGAATTTCGTCATTGCACTGCCACCTTGCGGATATAATTTTTTTTGGAGGGTGGGCCTTTAAGGCAATTAACTATGAATATTATGTATATATATATACCTTGAAAATCACACCATCTGAAGTGATTTGGCAACGTAGCACACGCCTTACAAAAGAATTTTCGTTCCATCATTCTACACGGACACTGCTAACCTTCGGCCATCTGTCAAAAGGTTCATCTTACTCATGTTTCTATGCCCACCATTTTGTGCAATCATCAAGTGGCTTCACGATGTAATGCTTAACTTTCGTTTTAAATATTTTTAATCTGTTTTTAATTTGTTCTTCTCATGCAGCTGTGTGTAGTTTGTATAATTTTGACCATTGTACCATGTATCCAGCTTTCACCATGTTACTGGGTGTTTCCCTCATCCTTAACGTAAATAACATTTAGCAACATCCTCACATACTACAGTAAGTTAATTTAAATTCATTTTACACAGTACTTTTATCAATGTAATTGCAGCTCCTGATGATGATGGCAAAGACCATTGACAGCTAGAAAGTTTAAAAAAGTATAAAGAGTTCTCCTTGCTTAAATTTTGTCGAAGTACCCAACAAAAGGCGGAAGCTTTAATTTTCACCTAACTGGTCTAGACGACAATGAGCACGTCTCAAGTTATATATATATATATATATATAGATATATATATAACTACTTGTTAGTTGGGAAATTGGCAAAACTTTTAGGCTAAAGTTGACTCTTTTGACGATAAAATCAAGCTTTCGGCATTCTTTATGTAGCCATCATCAGGATTCTGAAAACACAATTGTGATGCTAGCAAAGAAGACAGATTTAAAATGTCAGACAACTTACTCGTCGGTGAGGTTGCAGCCACAAGGTGTTTCAGAAAGAACGTAGAGAAGATCGAACTTGTGTTCAGTATAAAAACAAAAGGACGGGGACATTGGGCTTGTTAAAAAACGACAGATACCTTCGTTAAAAGTTAAGAAAAATAAAAATTATATCAATAAACCCGAACAAGCTAAAAATATTGCACGTGGGGAGACATTTTGTTGAAACAATCGGAATGCAGTCCCCAACCTTCTACTACCGCTACACGTGGAGAGGGGGAAAGGCACGGAACGGTAAAGCGTCGACAGAAGATAAGTGATTGACGCGACGGAACGTGGAAATGTGCACCTCCCTGTCCAACTTTGGGTATGAAGTATACGAGAGACGCTCGGTAAATCTCCATCCAAAATTACTAAAATGCTGGAATAACTTGTTTTGGAAAAGAGTGTGTGGTTCCTCTGAGTGCAAGAATGTGTGATATTGATACAACCTTGAAAAGATGGGTTATGTGAGTGAGAAAATGTATTCTAATTTTGTGAAGATGTTGGATCAATTTGGACATGTAGTCGTTCTAGCTTTTCGCAACTCAGCAGGTAGGAATAAATGACACTGAGCTGCTTAACATCAGCCTTTTTATTCATGCAATGATCTGTCATGAAAATGTGGGACATTTCTAAAAATAGACGTTTTGAGAGTCTTTTTTCTTTATCAAGAACCTCAATACTGCCATGATTCATAGAGTGACCTGTGTTGTTGGTATGCGAAGCCAAAGCACATCTTTCTGGATGTAATCTGGCATCATTTTTGTGTGACGTTATCCTGCCTTTCAGCGACCTACAAGTTTGTCCTATATAAACTAAATTGCAGATGTTGCAATAATACGATAGACAGTATTGGTTGAATCAAGCAACTGAATCTTTCATTTTGGACGACAAACTGTTGACTGTGAGAACTGATTTACAAGCAAAACGACAATTAAACGGATTATACAGCCGGATCAATTTTGGTGTTAGTTCTTTGATGTATGGCAAGACAACATAGTTAACTCTGGAAGTAGGAGCAACCACTGTAGTGCTGTTGTTCTCATTAGTTGAAGAAATAATGGGTATCTGGTTTGATTGACCCGTGTTGTCATTTTCATTATTATTATTAGTGATTGGCAAAATATTCGGAGGAGAGCTGAACAAGATTCTGTTAACCAAATACTTAGGATAGTCATTTTTGATAAATAAGACTGCAAGCTTCCTTAAATTGGAAAGATGGAAAGTAATGTCAGAGATTTTTATAACCCTGTTCTTCATTTGTTTCACCAGGTTTATTTTTATTCTAAGTTCATGGTAAGACCTGAAGTTCAGTAACCTTCCGGAAGAAATTGGTTTCCTGTACCAGTCTACCAGTAATAAATTGTCATTGGTACGAATCAATCTTGAATCTAGAAAGGGAACAGATTGATTGTCATCTTCTTTTTCGATGGTGAACTGGATGTAAGGATCATAACTGTTAAAAACCTCAACAATATCATCCACCCTATCATAAGGAAGACAAACGATTATATCGTCCACATACTTTCTAATGAAAATTAGATTGTATGGCAATACTTGAATAACAACATCAAGCAGGTCATCCATTACATATTCTGCCAAAATTGGAGATAGAACAGAGCCCATGGGGCAGCCATGTGTTTGTGAAAACACTTTGTTGCTAAAGGTAAAGTAATTGTTCTGGAAAAGGTACTCTACGATATTGATGAAAGAATCCAGAGTTAGGTTGCTGTGTTGGCAAATTAGATCCCAATGTTTGTTGATGGATCTGATGCAAGCTTCTAAATACACATTGCTGAACAGTGAAACTACATCTAAACTCGCAATAACATGATCAGGGGGTATTTGAAATCTATTAAATTGTTGACAAACATCAAAAGAGTCTTTTATAAAGTATTCTCCTTTGATGTGAGCTGACTTTAGAGTATCTGCAATTAAGAAGATAAAGCTAGTGTGGCTGATTCAACAGAAGCTACAATCGGTCTTACTGACAGTACCGGTTTGTGTATTTTGGGAAGAGCATAAAATTTTGGAGAGACAGAATTATAAGTGATTAAGGACTTCTTTTGGTCTTGGTTGATTTGACCAGTGCTGAGTAGTCTGTTAACAATGTCATTGCAACCTTTCTCTACTTTAGATGTTGGGTCTTTATTGATAACCTTGTAAGAGGGATCATTATCAATCACATCATTACATAGGTCAAAATATTGTTGTCTGAACATGATTACGGTAACATTGCCTTTGTCTGATTTTGTAACAATTAACTAGGGATGATCCTTAATAAATTTCCTTGTTTTAGTTAGCAGGTTATGGTAGAAAGGGTTTTTTTTGTTGATGCTACTGTTGTGAAAGTAATTTGTGATAATATTGGTGGAACGAGTTATCGCAATGTTCCTTTCTGTGTCATCACTAATGGAAGAAGAAATAGAATCAACATCAGCCAGAATATGTCTAATTGCAATGTCACTGTTGACAAATGGTTCAACACTAAATTTTGGACCCAACGAAAGAAAACTTGTGATATCATCTGGAATGCTGACATTACTGAGGTTCTTTACCCAGTTTGGATGAGTGTTAAGCAAAATTTTCATTGTGTCACTTAGTAACCTGTCAAACATACGTATATTCGAATTTTTGATAGAATGGAACAATGTATTATAATGTCTTAATTGTCTCGATTGAAAATTATTAAAAATTAAGAGGGACGTGAGTGAAATGATTTCAGTTTTCAAAAGTTCAAGGGATGAGTGAAGTTTTTTTAATTGTTTATGACAAGAAGAGATTTCAAGAGAAAGTATTTTCTCACCCAACCTTTGTAAAGGAGATTGTAGTCCATCTTCTGCAAGGTGATTGTGTATGATGGTGTTTATTGATGTTATGCGATGGTTGTTGTGTGGTGGTAGGATGTTATTCTTCCTGCACTTGATCAGGAATATCCGTCTGTTTACTTCATGAGCCAAACGTCTTCTGTGTTTAATCCAGTCCTTCAGTAGTGTAACAGAGCGTGTTCCATGACGTTCTTCAATTTGTTGGAAGTATCCCAAATCTGTGGATGTTACGTGAGAGGTAGTCATTGCCAAATGAACCACACACTCTTTTCCAAAACAAGTTATTCCAGCATTTTAGTAATTTTGGGTGGAGATTTACCGACCGTCCCTCGTATACTTCATACCCAAAGTTGGACAGGGAGGTGCACATTTCCACGTTCCGTCGCGTCAAACACTTGTCTTCTGTGGACGCTTTACCGTTCCGTGCCTTTCCCCCTCTCCACGTGTAGTGGTAGTAGAAGGTTAGGGACTGCATTCCGATTGTTTCAACGAAATGTCTCCCCACGTGCAATATTTTTGGCTTGTTCGGGTTTATTGATATAATTTTTATTTTTCTTAACTTTTAACGAAGCTATATGTCGTTTTTTAACAAGCCCAATGTCCCCGTCCTTTTGTTTTTATACTGAACACAAGTTCGATCTTCTCTACGTTCTTTCTGAAACACCTTGTGGCTGCAACCCCACCGACGAGTAAGTTGTCTGACATTTTAAATCTGTCTTCTTTGCTAGCATCACAATTGTGTTTTCAGAATCCTGATGATGGCTCCATAGAGAATGCCGAAAGCTTGATTTTATCGTCAAAAGAGTCAACTTTAGCCTAAAAGTTTTGCCAATTTCCCAACTAACATGTAATTGTATTTTGTACCCAACTAGTCGTTGGCTTTGGCAATGACTACTTCTCATATATATATATATATATATAATGTACGAGCCCCTTCCCACTTCAGTTGGCCCACTTCAAGATTTGTACCAAAATATGCCTTCATAAACTAAACATGACGAAACTATTTACTTATTCTCTCAAAAACATGTTAGATGCACTCTAGTCGTAACAAATACATATTTGAAATCACTTAGACCTATAACTAATAGAACATTTGAACAAATAAACAACGTGCGAATAAGTGCGCGAAGTTAACGAAGCAACAATTGAAAGATTACCATTGGGTAACCTCACCTTAATTTTTTATTACGGCTGAAATTCTTTGGGGCATAGTGTTAACCAAGTTTTGTAAAAAATTTGGTGTAAAACAATCCCATATTTCTTGAAGCTTTTGTCTCAGTTCGGTGATTGTACGAGCAGGATGTTGTCGTAGAACCTTTTTCATCTCATGCCACAAAGTTTCAATAGGTGACAGATCTGGACTGCTAGAAACCCATTTCAAAAGTGGTACATTATTTTCTTCCATCCATTTTATAGCCTTTTTTGAGGTATGGCACGCTGCACCATCTTGCTGATACACAAAATCTTGACCGGATGTCAAACATTCTTCTATCACTGGTAAAAGCGATTCTTCTAAAATTGCCAAATATTTGTTTGTATCCACATTTCAATCAATAGAATGAAGTTTCCCTACTCCTTTTGATGACATGCTGCCCCAGACCATAATGGATGCTGGAAATTTCACTTTTCTCTACAGACAGTCAACATCGAATGCTTCATTTTTTTGCGAATAACTCTACTGCGACTGTCACCAACACAAACTTCGAATCGGGCCTCATCACTCCATTATATTACACAACATTGTTGAGGTGTCCATTGTCTATGTTCTTTAGTCCATCTAAGCCGATTTTTCTTTTGCAGTGGAGTTAATAGTGGCTTTTCTTTGGCCTATAAACAAGTTGTGCAACTTAAGGGTTTTTACTTCACTTTTGTTTATAAGAAAACTTACCTTGCAAGTGCTAAATCCCAGTTTGTGGGCCTCTTTATGAGTTGTGGACCTCGAAATTCTCCTTCCAACAGCGTCACTCCATAGAGCACTTAATTGTAAATAATTGGCACGGCTATTTTTCACGATTATTCTTCTTAATGCTCTTCGGTCGCCATTTGTGATATTACTTTTTTCACATATCGTGGCTTAATATTAACTGAACCAGTTACGTTATATCTTCTAACAATATTTCTCACACTGTACCGCGATACGTCTAACAAAGTTGCAATTTCTGAGTTTGATTTCCCAGAATTAAAAAATTTGATTATCAGTAACCGAATTTTCGCACTAATAACCTTTCCGCTACCAATTTTGAAAACCTTAACTACCCAAAACTATTTTAAACGTATTCTGATAGCTGTGATTAATAAAAACAATTGTCATGGCTTTATTTTTTACAGCCACCTATGCGTTATAGACTTATTTTGCATTGAAATGAAAATAGGTTGATGTGCTGTAATTGCAACATGTGTCATTTTTATGCTGCAAACTTTATTAGGGAGTGATAAAGTTGGAGTTTTCAACTATATATTATCAAAATATTCATTGTTAATATTTTGAACCTATAACACCCTGCTACATTTTTATTATTTGTGTTTGATGAGAAAAAAACTACTGGGCCAACTGAAGTGGGAAGCGGCTCATATATATATATATATATATATATGTATGTATATGAGGTTACGGTTATTAAAGATTAAACAGACCACCATTTTTTATTACTAAGATGCATGAATTTATAACAGTTTGTAATCAAACGCAACTTTCAATGGGAGCAACACTGGATGACAGCAGATTGAAATAAGTTTCTTCCACGATATTAACTAATAACTCTGCGGGTAAAGCCTTCAACAGGCATGCATCACCTCCAAAATCCATGGAAATATTTTTGTAGGAAAATATGTTGGTGAATGTTATGTAAAACAAATTTGAAGGTCATTTTTGGAGGAAATCAAAATCGAAACTATTATAAGCAATCATAAATGTATTTTAAAAGTGTTTGTTCTTTCAGGAGAAAAGTAAAGGTATTTTAAAACTACGTGTACATTTTATTGTCGACTATTGTAAACTTTGGTAGTAAAACGAGTACAATGATCATATCTTATTCAAATCAAAGAAAATATTTCAGATAGTGTATAGGTACGAGTATATACATATTTTAGTGACCGTAATGTTATACTGTAAACATCTTTTTATCAAAATTAATATTATAATACTAATGTGTGTCTTTATCTTCTTATTTTAAGTCCAAAAAAAGGAACCCATTTAACATGGCAGGCGGATTCAACATTGTTACTCTTCCGTGCAACTCCCATAAATTATACTAATCTAAAAATATAACAAGTACAGATTAATAATAATTGTAATTAATACAAGGAGCAGAAACAAAACTATCGTAATCTTCTCACATGGGATTTGACTCTTTTTCGAAAGCAACTAGGTGAGGGCGAATTTTTTACTATATCTGGCAATGAGTTGTACAGTATAGATGCAACATGAGTAAATGACTTTTTAAGCTGTTCGGTACTGTGGAACGGAACATCATAAAAGTTACAAGTGCGAGTTTGCCTATCATGGAGATTAGATCTTCTAACAAGTTTGGTATAGAGGTAAAAAATAGCGGGGCTTTGTTAATATTGTAAGTTAAGCAAGCAAGACGTATTGAACCATCCAGAGACTCAAGATTAATCGCTAAAGTATGCACATTTTTTCAAACCGTACTAGGCAAACATACACAATATAAGTAAGTATGTTACTAAGATAAGGAAAAAACTAGTTGAGTCATCTTGAGATCTGTTTTGTCACTACCAGATGACTTAGATTTCATTGTCATTAATACGTGCTTAATATCTTCAGCACTCGCAATACGGAATGAAAATGTATTGGTAATATAACAATCAGATAGATGTCCGTTTGCATCAACGCCAGGGAGCTGGGCTTTTAGTGATTCTAGCAGCTTTACATGGAGCATGCCAATCAAAGACGTTAGATGCATGTGCATACCAAAACAATATTTAAAATTTGGCGATATTTTGGGTGTGTTAAATCATAACCTCGCCCCTCACAGCTCCTGGATTTTCTTTTTGAAGTCCTCTGTAGAATGTTTCCATTCAATAACAACAATTGTAGAAAAAGGTTGATCAATGAACGCGTTTATTTTCATTGCATTGTAAATTTTCTGCAGAAATATTATTTTATGTTTTCCAAATCACACTGTTCTGCTATCACGAACCTAAAATAACTTCTTTACAAAATAAACACCAACAGACAATCGTAACGCTTCGCTAAGCTGTAGAAAAGATTTGTAACAAAAAATAAAACAAACCTCAATGAGAATAAAAATCTAAGATATTGTTATTTGAAATTAATGGTCCTTTTATGAAACACATTTTTCACAGGGTTAGATGTCAGTGTCGTGCGAATACCAGTGATCAAGGTAAATAGTAGACTATCTGATTTTTGGCGCTCTTATTGCAATAACTTTTATTTTAATCAAAAGTCTTGTTTGTCGAGCATTTACCTATGTTTGGTGGCAAGAATGACAGTGGTCCTCAAGCTCTCCATTGGCATAGGATCTCTCACTAACTGAATATCTCAATATTTAAACATGCAATTACAAATGCTGATTTTATCTTCTTCAGGTGGGTACTACTGTTTTATCGAAATTATTGTAGTAGATATTAAATGTCGTTTTGTTAATGAAAAGTATCAAGGTGAGACTGACTTGCAGACAGTAGCGAATTTCAAGGGTTCAGGCCCTCCATAGGTTTGTCGCCCCATGGAGGAACTGTAAAAGGCAAGCAGACCATGAGTACGCCAGTGATTGAAGGTTGGTTTTCACTTCCCACGCCTATTGGCGGGGAAGTGTTGTCATCGCGAAATTTTTTGAAAATGAGATATTATGTAATTTGTTATATATGACAAGTACATCACGAACAACCATTTCACTTATTTCCGTCGGTCTGTGACATTTCAGAGGATCCTGATAATTTTTGAAATAACTTCTAGAGGCAAGAAAACTTGGAAGTGGGGTTGTAGAGCTAGGGGAGGGTTTATCTTATTTTTTGATGTTAGTAGTAGATTCATCCATACATTGGCGACTAAACTTAATAAATATCCTCAGCAGACGGGTCGTGTACCTACCAGCCGCGGCTGCAGGCCATTCGGCGCGTGTTGCCAGCCTTGGTTAGTACTCTATAATTCTGGTAGGGTATTACAAGTATCTCTCCCACGCCAGTGTTTCCTATGCTCTGACCACGCTGCCATGTCTGAGCGAGTCAAGTATCCTGGAAAGGCTACGTTTGTAGGGCCGGGAAAGAATATCTTTGGACTAGTTGTATGGTTTTTGCTGAACATAATCCTCTATGAACTGATAACGACGTAGCGTGGGAAATGCAGAGTAAACCTACTCCTATCCCATTTAAAATGTATTCCATGATGGTGTCGACCCGCCATCTTGAATTTACCAACTGTCACTCACGCTATCCATAGAGGATTTTCAAATTTCAGATTGCTAACTTGACCAGTTCATAAAACAAGAGAAATGTCGTTTTGAAAAGCACTGTGTATCACAGAATGCCTATTCCTTACTGCCAGCTGTCTGTGAGACAGATGCATATTTACGAAATATATCAAATCAGATGCATTCGAGGGTGCATCTTTGTCTTTTGTACCGCATATAAGCGCGCCTCAAGAGAACAGCCTGCAACAAACTTCCAGCTCGTATTTATCTAAATGCTGTCTGTTGAGTTTCTCAAGAAAGAGACTGAAACTGAGCCGAGTCTAATTGCGATTTTGTTAATCCAGTTTAGCGGAGTGTGTATTTCGGTTGGTTGAGAGATGGTAGTGATCCGTTTAGCAAATGAAGCCAATCTGGCGTACTGAAGACGCTCCAAGACGCGACGCGAGGTTTTAACAAAATGTTTGCCGCTGTGCGTTCTACCGCAAATGTAAGAACGGTGTCTTCACTTGTACGTGTTAGTCCAGGAGTCGTGCAAGGTTAATGAGTGCTTCAGATTTCAGTTTTTTTAAGAAAAAAACATAATTCTTAAAAAAATCCACACTTAGAATCATGTATGTCATTCCTACAGAAAATGAGGATTCTCGAACCTCCTATGCAAAAAGCGGTGATAGAGAGAGAGAGAGAGAGAGAAAGAGAGGAGTCAGATACTATATATATACGTACAAAACCTTACCTAGGACCACCTACTATCGATGATTTAGACTAGCATTTAAGTAGAATTGAAACTGAAGATGAAGTGACAGTACTAGCAACGAATGAGAAAGAAAAGTTAACTCAGCATCCAGATTGCGTTCAGCATAGGTTATTCTAGGTGACAAAGTTATCAAGGGTTCAAATGAGTTTGTGGGCTGAAATGTAAAAGAAACACAACTTTATGATGGGTGCATCTTAACAATATGTTTTGTATGACTCGTAGCCCCATCTTTCTGAAAAAAAACTACTATTCAGTTGGGACCTAAGAGGTATCATAAGCTAATCCAGTCTGACCATCGTCATTTTCAGAAATTGAAATCT